TCTGTAATGTGGCGTTTAAGGGTTAATCTAATGACGCGTTGGGGGAAGAAATGGACAGGATGTGTAAAAGCAGATTTTATTGTTAAAAGAAAAGAAAAAGATAGGTAAGAGAAATAGGAGGGGAGAGAAAAACAATCATTATTTTCACATCTTTTGGAGCTTATATTAGTTGCCTGACGATCATCGTTAGATATCGGATTTTTATGCAGATATTTTTTTACAGACACGCACAAAATATACAAATTTGCACAAATATGCAAATATGCACAATATGCATAAATAAATATACATTTTTAGAATGTTTTTTTAAATAAGACGGATTTCTATTTTTATCTTACTTTCCAATCTGCTTTCTAAAAAAAATATGAAATTGCATAAGAATCAGATGTCTAATCATTATCTAACGAACCTGTGCTATACGCGATATCATACTTTATTTGATATACATTCTTTAATTTTTAATCACTCTGTTACTACATCATTAATTTTGTAAAGGGCATATTCAACATATAAAGTTAAAAATATCTTTTCACAAAATAATAATATATCGAAGTAATATAACATGCATTGATTCTACGAAATAATGAATAAAAGAGAGACACTACGCGAACTGGGTCGGAAGTACAGCCGTTCGATATCTGAATACGTAATTACTGAATACGTAATTACTAGTAATATCAAAAGAATATTGTTAAATTATTAATTAAATTAATACCGCAAGGCTACCACACGCACGTCGCGTAGCGAAAAATGATAGCGAAATGAAACGTGGGGTATTATTTAACGAATAAATACAAATTTTCTAGTATTGGTCGTGTGCCAGTTATTACGTCCACACCATATTTCTCTCACCGCAGTCGAATTAATTTAACAAACCCAACGAAAAGAACAAACAGAATCGGGAGAGAGAAGAAAGAACAAAATTTATCATCTGGAACAAGCTTCACCGCGAGAGAAAAAGTAGCATAAGCGGTATATTTAAATCGATAATGAAAACAAAGAAGTTTTAAATAACTGCGGTTGCGGCTGCAATAGTTACAAAGGCTTTGCATAATGAAACCGATGCGAAAGAGAGAATTAAAATAAAGAAAATTACGGACGGCGATAAATCCCATTCTGTCTAACTGTTAGCGAATTATCCTCGGAAGAGAAAACGAGAATAAAAAGATTTCATTTGCATTCTTTGCTATCTTGATATCAGTCATGGTGAATTCGATTTGCACTACACTGGATTAGCGCGCATTAAAGACTACTTTATATAAAGTATCTAAATGTAGTGGCATAATATAATTAATGTTGAAAACAATACACGTACATCCTGTTAAATAACGTAACAGTATCATTATTGGATATTTAATCATTTAAAATATTTATATTCTTTTACATTTAATTTTGCTAATTTCATGCACAGCAGCTTTTAGTATGCACTTAATTCTGGTTTAATGCAAGCGACCGAATTCGCTATTAAAGAGATAAGATCGAAGTGACCCAGCAAGCGTTAAGTGGAGCAGGAAATTTGTGTTTGAATTAAAATCTTTACTGTAAAAGATATGATTATGGGTTTTAACATTACGAGGCGTTTATACATAATTCTCTCGTCTTAGTGTCGATGTAAATATGATGAAGATTCTCATTGAGAATATGATGAATTTAACACTCATGATTAAATCCATATTTCTATTTTTTTTATTTTTGAACCATGATGTTAAATCTATACCACGGTGATGTTTATATCAATACTATAATACGGTGAGAATTATATTTAACACTCATGGAGTTAAATCTACATTCCTATTTTTTTGTATTTAAATCATGATGTTAAATCCACACTCTAGGTAGTTATACTCTCTTTCCCGTTCAGTGACACATCAAATCAACACAAACATTATTTTATCTCTATTGGCATTCAGAAAGTATATATAATAAGATAGAATGACTCAAGTGTCGACTTGTATCACCAAATGAAAAGCGTCCTGCATGATGTTTGTATCATTGATGAAAATTATATTTAACATCCATAATGTTAAATCTCACACTCCTATTTTGAGTAGAGTGCTCGAAATAATATAGAAAAGAGGAAATTATGCGTATATGGTTCGTCTCGATTAACCGCATACGAAACCGTTGTACGCGATTCCACGTGCGGCTGCACTCTTCAAGAGTAACCGGGATGCAATACTCGCGCGAACAACTAAGCGAGAGAACGAGATTATTCGTTTAAGAAGTTGCAAGGTAACGCTGCCGTTAGATCGACGGCACAACGACGGCACACTTCCCGCGGCGATCGATCTTAAGTTTTACGGCTCGACGCGCCATAAACTCCTCGCTTCCTCGCTTCCTTGCCTCGCATCGTACTTTCGTAGATTCGATTCTAAAATCTGCTCGCAACGCCGACTCTTCCGCGGCCACTCAATCAACTCTTATCTGAGCGAACGGGTTCGTTGGACTTGCAGAAGTCGCTACTCATGGTTATTGATGTGATATTAGTTAAAGTCTAACAAGCAGAAGGCGACGAGTTAAGTCTAAGAAGTTAAGTTTGTGAAGAGCAATTTATTACGTCCTTTATATCAGATACGTTTCGAAAGTGACATAATGTAGCATAATAAATTACGAACGTAAAACGTCCGTCTTACAATCTAACGATCAATGTCCATTTCTACTAATGTAGATTCTGTACTGTTTAATCTTTGTTTAACTTACTTTTTATTTTCTTCAACGCGGAAAATATTTGTTGCAATAGCAAAGAGATCTACATATATGCGGTAGTTCAATTTTAGTCTTAATATACGAATAAAAACTAAATTTTTTAGCAGTGTAGCCAGTTTTAATTAACTGTAGATAATATAAGTAAGAGGATCACAAAAATTTAATTATTTTGATAATAGAAAGAATTTATTATAGTTACTTTAATAACAGAATGCGTTGCAATAATTATAATAATTAACACACGTACATAATTTTTTACCGTGACAGACGAAAGTTTTGACGTTTCTGATAACATTATAGATGCCATTATATGAACACATTTTACTGGCACATATAATCTTTATGTATTTAAAA